ATACACCGGGTCCATATATTAGGCACCACCACTCAAAACTTGGATAAAACAGCACTTCTTTTCAGTCTGTCAAGCACTTCGTTCGTCTCTGCCCACTCCCCTTGCGGAGAGTACGGAACAACGGATCAGAACTCCACACTCGCTTTGCAGCAACGCTGCGTCTCACTCACACAGCACACTCGCACACGGAGGCCTCCAGCACATCTCATTCATACCACAGGAATATAATTTAGAATGATAACCAACCAAATAAGTATTGTCTCTGACTGTGTTCTTCGTGAAGTGACTTGTAACACTTTGTTTCAAACCCTTACACTTACACAAATACTTTCAACACAAAATACATACATAAAAACACATACAATTATTAACACTCCAGTTAGTATCCCTCCAGCAGCCGAAAACATACCGTTTGTCTGCAGTTTCAGGAGATCCTTGCTCCTGCGGTGAGCAGCTGAGAGTGGAGTCCCCTCCGAGCAAAAACACTCAGGGTGCACCTAGGGGCGTCCACACTGCAGCCGATCCTGCAGCCAAGCAGAGTGTCTCCTGCCTGGCTCACCAAAATGACTCTCAGAAAGCTGACTCCACAATCAGTAGGATTGTAAAGTAGGTATGTTTACTCAGTTCCGTGCAGCACGGGGCGGGTAGTCCTCCCCAAAGTCGTGCAGGCCTAACGTTGGTTTAGTAAAAAGTTACATATACATAAACATTCCTATACACACACATAACCTGTCCCTTTGTGAACACTCCTCCTTATCTTAGACCCCTTGGTTAAAGTCTGAACCATGAGGTTGTTTTTGATCTGGTTCTCGGGGTCCGAGAGGCTCCTGTTATCTGGTGGTATAAGTGCAGCACAGGCACAAATGTAGCACATATTCATTCTTAATCAATTGCTCTCTAATTTCTAATTCCAATGTTTCAGCTTGCTCTTTTCCGGATCCACGGGTATTCTACTATTAATGTTCAAAGCCTGACAGACCCCGTCCTCCGTGGATCAAAATACAGGGGGTCTTAAGGGTTCTTTTGGTCATTCTATCATAAAATACTGGATCATTTTCAATTTACTCTTTAATTTTCTGGGGCCCCTATCGTTCCAATTTCTAATCATTACTCATAATGGACTTTTTGGTCATATATCTGGTAATTTGCTCCCTTTCTGGTCCTTGGTCTTCGATTTTATCTGACCCATCCGGGAATTTTACTTGTGGCAATTCCCACAGCCCTTGGTTGCACCCAGTGAGAGTGTCTTGCAGGGGGTTTAGGACCTATCACCCACCCATGTATCACTCCCCAACTGCAGAGACAGAAGTGAACTCACAGTCCCTTTGAGTGACACGTTCCTGAGGCTGCCCTATCAAGTGCAGAGACAGAAGTGACCTCACAGTCACTGCCACAGTCACATTCTTGCTGGGGCAGGAGATCCTGAGGTAGAGCTCACCTCTCTGTTGTCCTCTACGGACTGGGGCTTACCTTTCTTGTTTAGAGAAAAAAGAAATTTTTAGTTGGAAGGTTTGCTGTTCTGTTTGCGGTGTCAGGTCTCTGGTTAGGGTATGGGCAAGCATTATGGTTTAGGGTTTTGTTTAGGTCTGGCAAGAAGTCTAGGGATAAATAGAGCATTTAATGTTAGTGTTAAGGGCAGGGATCAGGGTGTGCAAGAGAGGAAATGTAAGAAAAAGGGGCTATGGGCTGAGTTTTTCTTGAGGTGATATTTCGAGTTCTGCTTTCCAATAGTGGATTCCTGTCAGGATGTTGCACTAATGTTTAGGTTGAGGGATTATTGTTATTGTTTACAGGCCTTACAAGACTGAAGTCAGTGTTACAGCAGAATCAACATTACAGGAACCCTCTTACCGCTTACAAAGGTAAGCTTCCGAGCTCCTCTTCCCTTCCTCTTCCCTCCCCCAAATCTCACATTTCTCCTGGCCAGGCTACTCCTGACCTCCCCATATCAGTCATCTAACTGGGATCAGCTTTCTGATGGTTGTCATTATATCAGAGTACCTGTCTCTCCTCTGTTGGCTACTCTATTCTGTGGTATTAGACTGCTCTAGACTCTAGACTCTGTTGGCTATTCTCGTCTGTTACTGTGAAAGCCTCCCATGGAAATTGTTTGGGCAGGTAATTGGAAGCCATGACTATAGACAGACAAAGGCACTGTGCTGAGAAATTTTGGTTTGTTTTGGTGAATCAGAAGCTGAAGGCCTGACATCAGCCACTGGGAGGGGAGATCCTGCAACCCCAGCACCGCATGTCTCACTCTCCCCAGGGTCTGTGGGGTAGGGGGCAATGACCATAATATCATATGAAGGACATTGGTATGACAACTTCCAGCGTTGGCAAAGGGTTTAAAGGAGAATTCATGGTCCCAATGCCATGAATATAAAATGTCTCCTTATAAGCCATGGCCAAGGGGACAAAGATGTCAGTGCTGCTGCAGCCTTCCATTCTAGTCAGCCCTCTGCCTTCTCCTCTGCATGCTTTCCTATACTGTCCCACACTTCCCTGAAGGCTGCAGACAACCACTTCTCTTCGCCACCTTGCTCTCACTCTGGTATTCCCATGATTTCACTGCTGCCTCTCCACTCTCACCAGCTGTTCCTTCAAACACAAGGGCATGGGCTGATCCAAACTCCCCCTGGGTGATCTCTGGACCCACAGCACCAGTTCCAGTGCCTCACCTCCAAGTCAAGAATTTCATCTGACTATCGAATCTAAATCTACCCTCTTGAAGTTTAAAACCATTCTCCTTGTCCAATGATAGAGTCATAGAAATCATAGAAACACAAATTTGGAAAGGACCTACAAGACCATTTAGTCCAACCTTCCTACCACTAATACTACCCACTAAGCTACTGAGCCATATCTCCTAGCACCTTGTCCTGGTGCTTCTTGAACACTGAGGGTCAGTGACTCTACCACCACCCTGTGCAGACCATTTCAGTGCCTGACTACTCTTTGAGAGACAAGTTTTTTGTGATATCTAATCTAAATCTCCCCAGGCACAACTTGTGGCCATTTCCTCAAGTCCTATCATTAGTTATCTGAGAGAAGAGGCCAACCCCCGCCTTCCATCAACCTCTCTTCAGGAAGTTGTAGAGTGCAATACAGTCTCCCCTGAGCCTCCCCTTCTGCACACTAAACAATCCCAGTTCCCTCAGCCAATCCTCATAAGACCTATGCTCCAGAACCCTCAACAGTTTGGTTGCCCTTCTCTGGACATGTTCCAGGACCTCAATGTCCTTTTGTAACAAGGGTCCAAACCTGAACACAGTGCTCAAGGTGTGGCCTCACCATAACAGAGTACAGGGGGATGATCACCTCCCTGCTCCTGCTGGCTGATCTATTTCTAATACAGGCCAGGATGCCCTTGGCCTTCTTGGCCACCTGGGCACACGGCTGGCTCGTGTTCAGCTGAGCATCCATCAACACTCCCAGGTCCGTTTCCTCTTCACAGTCTTCTAGCCACTCTGCCCCAAGCCTATAGCACTGCATGGAGTTATTGTGGCCAAAGTGCAGGACCCTGCACTTGGCCTTGTTGAACCTCATCCCATTCACCTCAACCAAGCAATCCAGCCTATCCAGGTCCCTCTGAAGGGCCACCTACAGATCCTCATGCGGATCATCACTACCTCCCAACTTGGTGTCATCTGCAGACTTACTGAGGGTACACTCAATCCCCTCATCTAGGTCATCAATAAAGACCTTAAACAAGATAGGTCCCAGTACCGACCCCTGGCGGGGGCGCCACTTGTAACAGGATGCCAGCTGGACTAACCAAAAATATTGGTTAAAAGCTCTGAGGAGGGCTTTAAGGACTTTACATGGACAGCAAAGTCCATACAAAGTTACTGTACTGGGTCTGGCTGGGATGTTAACTTTCCCTGCAGCAGCCCATACAGTGCTGTGCTCTGCACGTGGAGCTAGAACAGCAGTGGGATCACACCAGTGTTGTGTCTGCTGCTGAGCAGTGCTTGCACAGCATCAGGACTCTCTCTAACCCTCCTAGGGGGTGGGCAAAAACGTGTGGAAAGTAGATTTGTGGAAGTAGAGAGTAATTTCTTTCCTCTGCACTTCCACATAGGCTTTATTTGTTTTGTTTGATTGTCTGTTTGTGTTTCCCTTTCCCCCTGCCTTTTCCCCTTCTTTTTCCCTTTAGTTAAATTATTTAGTTCATAATAATCTTTCTCTATTAATAATAATAATGATTATTTTTTCCCCTTGTGCCTGAGGTCCATGGGCTCATCAGCCAAGCCCACAGAGGGGTGATTGCAGTGCCTTGGGCTGGTGCTGTGCTGCTGAGCTGGGCCGGGCTCATGGGACAGAGAGAGCTGCTGGCAAGAGGGCCCTGGTGCAGAGAGACAGCTGTGCCCAGGAGCAGCTCCTCTGCACAGCGCAGCAGGGCTGGGGGCTCTGACCGCAGCTGGCACACAGAGAGGAGAGAAGGAGAGAGGGCTTGGAGGCACTGAGGAGCGCAACAACAGAGGGCAGCGTGTGGCAGGACACATCTGCAGGCTCTTGACACCGTGAGGCTCTGGCAGCAGGGCCATGCAGGTGGGGTTGCCAGAGGGGTCTTGTACAGCTGGCACATCCGATGGCTGATAGCATCTGTCAGGGTGAGTCTCTCTGTTTCTCCAGAAATTAGTAGAAGATGCTTTAGGGAATGTCATTTATAAGGGGTCATTTCCAGAAGAAGATTGAGGCTTTGTTTATCTAAAGGAGAAGGCTTTTTTTTTGGTTCTGTGCTTTCCGATTCCTGCACTGCAGGGGAGGCAAGTTTGAGGTTAATGTGTTCTCAGGATTGTACAGGAGACTGAGAATCCCAGAGCATTGCACAGAGAGATCAGAATGGAAACAATGAGATTCTGGCAGGTTCTCCTGTAAAGAGAGAAGATCTCCTGGGGGGTGTGCTAAGACAGGGAATAGATTTTCCTCATTTAAGTCTGTTCTAACTTTGATCTGCATTGTCATCTTCGACAGGAGGCTGTGCTTAATGTCAGCAAATGCCCAACAGCAGTTCAGTCAGTGAGTTCCTCCTGCTGGCATTCGCAGACACGCGCGAGCTGCAGCTCCTGCACTTTGCGCTCTTCCTGGGCATCTACCTGGCTGCCCTCCTGGGCAACGGCCTCATCCTCACAGCCATAGCCTGCCACCACCGCCTCCACACCCCCATGTACTTCTTCCTCCTCAACCTCGCCCTCCTCGACCTGGGCTGCATCTCCACCACTCTGCCCAAAGCCATGGCCAATGCCCTCTGGGACACTAGAGCCATCTCCTATCAAGAATGTGTTGCTCAGGTCTTCTTTTTTGTCTTCTTGGTTGTAGCAGAGTATTCCCTTCTCACCGTCATGGCCTACGACCGCTATGTTGCCATCTGCAAGCCCCTGCACTACGGGAGCCTCCTGGGCAGCAGAGCTTGTGCCCAGATGGCAGCAGCTGCCTGGGGCAGTGGCTTTCTGTACAGTGTCCTGCACACGTCCAACACATTTTCCCTGCCCCTCTGCCAAGGCAATGCTGTGGACCAGTTCTTCTGTGAAATCCCCCACATCCTCAAGCTCTCCTGCTCAAATACCTACCTCAGGGAAGTTAGGGCTCTTGTTTTTAGTGTTTTTTTGGCCTTTGGTTGTTTTGTTTTCATTGTGCTGTCCTATGTGCAGATTTTCAGGGCAGTGCTGAGGATGCCCTCTTCTCAGGGCCGGCACAAAGCCTTTTCCACGTGCCTCCCTCACCTGGCTGTGGTCTCTCTGTTTGTCAGTACTGCCATATTTGCCTACCTCAAGCCTCCCTCCGTTTCCTCACTGTCCCTGGACCTGGTGGTGTCATTTCTGTACTCGGTGGTGCCTCCAGTAGTGAACCCCCTCATCTACAGCATGAGGAACCAGGAGCTCAAGAATGCAGTGAGGAAATTGTTTCCATACATGCTTCTTTAGCATCTGTGATGTATTCAGAGGACGTATTCTTAATAATATGCAAATATTTTGATTCATACTATATCATATCATTTTTATCATTATTAGTGTTATCATAACATTGTCATTAATAATAATCCTAACAGAAATAAAAGGGTATTTGGGAAAATGACACAACATTTTTAAAATTATTTTTCTTTGTTAATATTTCAATAATATTTTATTTTGTTTTTAGTAGTATAGTTCTCAGCATTTTGAATGTTACATTTTGTCTTAGTTTTTACCATATCATTTAATGTACACAGAGATAATGTTTCCTTTGTTGTTAAAGAAAATAAAGATATTATTGGAAATTCTTTTGTCTCAGTATCCTTCTCTTTCCATCTCCTCTGGAGCATCCCATGGGGTGACTTATGTCTCTGCACTTGATAGGGCAGCAGCAGGAATGTGTCACAGAAAGGGACTGGGAGGTCACCTGTGTCTGTAGGTGACAGGTCACCCTTGACTTCTCCCTGGGATCTGCACTTTTGGGCTGACATCTGGCAGTGGCCCTGCTAGGCCAGCAGAAGGCACCTGCTTGGCATGCTGACTGGGGGATCCCCTCTGCCTCCAGACCCAGGAGAACCCAGACAGAAAGAAGGCCCCAACATGGGTTGTCCTGTCCCTTCTGCTTGAGTCCATGAGTGGGCAGCAGCAGGCACAAGGCTTGGCTGTGTCTAGCCAAGAAGCTGCAAGGCCAGCAGCAGGCCCCTGGCTTGGAAGCTGCTGCTGAGGTGACTTGTGTCTGCTTGGCTGAGAGGCCCCAAGGAGCCTGCTGGGTTGGGATGCCTACTTCAGGAGGGGTTTCCACTCTGAGGGAGCTTTCTTTGGTAGTAGGAAAGAGCAGGAAAGAATAAACTGCCACATAGTGTTCCATGGAAGGCTGGTACTGGTTACAAGGAGGAAGAAATGTCCCTCAAAGGGTCATGCTGTTGTCCCACAGGTCACCCTCTGATCAGACCCTTGCTTCGTGTTTCAAGAAACAGCTGATGAGGGCTGACAAGACATCAGTGAAAGCAAGGGATGAGAGCAAGATGGAGAACCGAGATGGGTGTCTCCAGACTTCAAGGAAATAGGGCAATGTGTGGGACAGCATAGGAAAGCCTGCACAGGAGAAGGCAGAGGGTGCTGGTAAAAAGAGTAGGCCCTAACTGCCCTGAATTTTTTGTCCCTTCGGCTAGAGCTTAGGAGGAGGTATGTTATATTCATTGTGATGGAGACTCACGGATTCCTTTCAACCCTGTGCAGCTGCTTGGAGGTTTCATACCACAGTTCTTCTCACGACATCCCACTGCCCACCACATTCCACAGACCCCAAGAAGAACCTTGAGCTAGATATGGGGGTGCAGGATCTCCCTGTCCCGTGGCTGGGGTCAGGTCTTGGCTCTTCTGCATCACCAAAACCAACCAAGACTTTCCTCAGCACAGTGCTTTGCCTGTCTGTAACCATGGCCTCCATGTATCTGCACAAACAAGATTTTGGGGAGGCTTAGTTTTTAACAGCCCTCAATGGGGCCCATTAATATTCCAAGTCACATCAACTTTTCCTCCTGACTTTACTTTCTCTAGCAGTTGCATTATTCTCTTCTCAGTACCTGAGCTTCATAGACTCAGCACCACAATACACCATGGAACTCATTAAAATGCAGAAATTCCTAACATCTCTTCCCCTTCATGCCTTGTGTAGCTAATTGCAGAGCTTGCATGATGTAGTCAAAGAAGATTTCAAAAAGCAACTAATAAAAAAAAAATCTAGTTTTAAAGGCTGATTTTTGCTGCATTTCAGTTTTGAGCATCATTCTCCTCTTGCTATTGATCCAGGGTGGCTTATTTGGAGACCTTCACAGGGAGGAATAGCAGAGTCTAGAGGGCTGACACTTCCACTGCCAGCAGTGGTCTTTATCCCTGTAACTGCAGCCCAGCCCAGCACATTAAACCCTTTCTAAGACAAGTCAGGTGTTGTTTTTTTTTTAGATAATAAAATAAAATAAAATAAAATAAAATAAAATAAATAATAAAATAAAATAAAATAAAATAAAATAAAATAAAATAAAATAAAATAAAATAAAATTGAAATGACCATTGGAACCAGAGAAATTCAGCTGTAATATGAGTAGGTACCTGGTCATCCATGGTCTCTCTTGCATCTTCTGTAGAAAACTCAGGATGAAAAGTAAAGACATTTACTTTTTTTTTTTTTACTCTACTATTTTTTCAAAAATCCTACTTTTTTCAAAATCCTGCTTCCTCTGCTGTAGATGCAGAAGGCAAAAAGAATTGCATTGTTCCTTACACTACTCTGGGACGTGTAACCCAGAACAAGTCTTACAAGGAGCAGCTAAGGGAGCTGGGATTGTTCGGCCTGGAGAAGTGGAGGCTCAGGGGTGACCTTTTAGCTCTCTACAGCTACCTCAAAGGAGGCTGTAGAGAGGTGGGGGTTGGTCTGTTCTCCAACATGCCCAGTGACCGGACTAGAGGGAATGGGCTAAAGTTGTGCCATGGGAGGTTTAGGTTGGCTATTAGGAAAAACTTCTCTACTTGTGAGATATGTTCATCTGATTCGTGTCAGTATGGAACAATGCTAGGGCCGCATGGTATGATGAATGTGACCTTCTGTCTTACATACCCTTGTATAACCACAAGACTAAGAAAAACAGAGTGGTTAATCTTGTATCTTGCAAAGAAATTTTTTAGCCATTTGTGTCAGTAGAGATCTTGAAGGGAAATGTATTTGTAGGCTTTTCCTTGAAGTCTCTGATATCTGGGGGGTTTCAGAACAACAGCTAACTATTATGACTATTGCATGGGACACTAAGCAAGTCTCTGATATCTGGCCAGGAGATTAAGAAGAAGGGGAAAGCTGAAGAACAACTAAAAGACAAAGCTTGCAGGGGATGCTGCACAAGTCTCTGACTTACAGCCAAGTCGGACAAAGGAGAAAGGCAAGAGGGAGGAAGACTATGAGCCTTCAGCATGAGAAACCCCCAAAAGGGACGCCCAGAGACTGATATGCATGCTCCAGTAGGAGGGTTTGGGTTCTGGAAACTAATTAAAGTACCCTGTTTTTTTCTAGAAGTAGTAATAAATATGTATTAGCCTAGGAGCATAAAAATCAACAGCTAGATGTAACTGGTGTGCGTCTTGGTGGAGCAGAGACTCCCGGCGCACCCAGCGCTGTTTGCTTACCTCTATTCCTTTAATAAATTGTAAACTTTGATTATAGTCTTATTTAGAAGACTGAGCCATTTATAACAGAAGGGTGATTCAGGAGACACCATGCAGTCTTTGGGTTGCTTGTTCTCCAGCCATTAAGGTATGGAAATTGCTGGGTGTTTGCTGTTGCTGGGCAAAGTTGTTTTGGCATTGTGATGCCAAAAAAGACATCGGGATGCCTTTTTTCATCTTGAGGACATGGTCCCCTCTTATACTGTTCACCCCACAGCAATCCCTTTCAAAAACAACTTTTCATTGGTCAAACAACTTTGCCCAGCAACAAGGTTAAAGAACAAGGTTAAAGAAAGACAAAAGGCAGAAAGGTAATAGGAGGTAAAAGCATGAAAAGAGGTTAAAGAGGGACAGAGAAGACAGTAAGAAGGGAAAAGAAGGTCTAAAGGTGGAAAGGTCAAAGAAGGTCAAAAGGCGAAAATAAGGTAATGAGGGTCAGAGAAGGTGAAAAGGCAGAAAGAGGGTCAAAGGAGGTCAGAAGGCGTAAAGAAGGTAAAGAAGGTCAGATAAGGTGAAAGAAGGTCAAAGAAGGTTAAACAGCAGAAAGAAGGTAAGGAGGTTTAGAGAAGGTTTTATTATTTATATTAATAACCTATTAATAGTAATAGACTTAAAGGTTTGTTTGTTACCTTTTCTGATTGTACATATATATAGGCATCTGTAAAAGCAATGTTCTGTGGGTTTAGAAAGTTTGATGTTTGTGTGTGCATGTTGGTAGAGCATAAACTCCCCACACCCAGCACTGTTTATTTGCCTTTTATAAATATTAATGAATTCAGATTGAGTTGAAACTTCATTTCTAACAGGTGCTTTTGCCATTCCTTCCCAGTTAGACTCGCTTCAGACTCCAGCACAATTATCTCTTGGGCTGCCCCTGTCACTCCAGAAATACAGATGGCATCTACCTCTTTCCAGCTTGATGGCATTAGGGTTGTGGTGATTTTACTCAGGTGGGCAGCTGAGCTCCACCACAACCACTCTCTCACTCCCCCTCTCCTCAAAGAGGAAGGGGGAGAAAATACAACACAGAGAACTCGAGGTCTGAGATGAGAAAGGTTTAATTAAAGGGAAAGGGAATGGGGAGGGAAAAAAAAGAAACAAAAGAAACAATAAGTCTGTGAGGAAGCACAGAGAGAGGGAAAAAAATATTCTCTACTTCCCATCAACGAGCGACGTTCGGCCACGTCCTGGGAAGCAGGGCCTCAAACGCGTAGTGGTTGTTCAGGAGGAACAGCCTGTCCCCACGAGAGTCCCCCCTTTAATTGCTGAGTGTGACATCAGGTGTTATGGAATATCCCTTTGGTTGGTTTAGGTCAGCTGCCCCGGCAATGTCCCCTCCCCATTACTTGCCCACCCCCAGCCTGCTGGCTCTTGGGGGCTTGGAAGGAGTCTTGATGCTGTGCCAGTGCTATGCAGCAATAGACACAACACTGGAGTGATACCAGTGCTGTTCCAGCTACGAGTGCAGAGCACAGCACTGTGCGGGCTGCTGCAGGGAAAAGTGACTCCAGCTCAGACAGATCCAACATACCCACTGAGCACCATGTCCCTGCAGATCTCCTGACATCTCCTGGCAGCTCCAGATTCCTCTCCAAGCTGGCATTGGCCATCTGCCCCACTGCAGTGGGCAGTGTTGTCTATTTGGGCATGTGCTGCCACAAAGGAAGTTCTTGGCCTAGCCCTTGGTTCCTCAGGGACCACTCTGGGACTTTCAGCCTCTGTCTCTCACTCCATGAAAAAAAAACAGAAAACAGAAGAGCAGAGAGCAACCTCTTGGCTCTATTTCTGATAGCACATTTGGAAGAGGTGTCCAGGGTCCTGGGTTTGCCGTGAGCAAGACCCTCTTGTTACTGTGGTGCTAGCAGGGAGGCCAGCTGTGACCCAGGGCTGCACAGTGCCTGCTGCTGCCTGCAGCCACAGGGATGCCACTGCAGAGACAACAGGACTGTCATCAAGGCATAAGAGACCTCGAGACTTAGACAGATACAAGAGCACAAGAAAGCAATAAGGAACCAAAAAGAAAACAGCAGTGAAAAGGCCACGTCCTGATGCTGGCCATGGCCATGGCTCCAGGGAAGCAGCAGCCCCGACCCAAAGGCAGCAGAGAGGCAGAGCCCAGCGGGCAGGGAGGGGCAGCCCCGAGGGCCACCGGGGCTGCTCCTGCATGTGGCAGCTGGGCTCTTGGCCCTGAGCCCCTCCTGCGTGCTGGGGCTGCTCCCCCAGCTCCAGAGCAGATGCAAAGAGACAGCAGCTGAGACAAATTCTTTTCTCATGGCATCTTTATCATTTATATGTATACAAGAAGCCTGCTAATATAGGTTCATGAGATTATTAGTCAAAGTAAATAAAATTAACACGTTGGATGTTAAGAGAAAGATGATCAAAGAAAAAAAAAAGAGTTAGACTACAGAAAAGAAGAGAAATCAAAGTAGGCGTAAGATAAAATATTTTCCTAAGAGTTTCCAAAATAAATTTGAAATTTAAAGGCACATTATTGATTCTGAAGAAGCATATATTCAAAAAAATTCCGTACTGCATTCTTAAGTGCCTTGTTCCTCATGCTGTAGAGAACAGGGTTCACTGCTGGAGGCAACACTGAGTACAAAAATGACACCACCAGATTTAGAGCTGGGGAGGAGAGGGAGGGAGGTTTAAAGCAGGCAAAAATGATGGTGCTGAAAAACAGGGAGACAAGAGCCAGGTGAGGGAGGCAAGTGGAAAAGGCTTTGTGTCGGCCCTGCTCAGAGGGCATCCTCAGCACTGCCCTGAAGATCAGTACATAGGACAACACAATGAAAACAAAACAACCAAAGGCTAAAAAAACGGTAAAGATAAGTGCCCCAACTTCCCTGAGGTAGGCATCTGAGCAGGAGAGCTTGAGGATGTGGGGGATTTCACAGAAGAACTGGTCCACAGCATTGCCTCGACAGAGGGGCAGGGAAAATGTGTTGGCCGTGTGCAGGACAGCATTGAGAAAGCCACTGCCCCAGGCAGCTGCTGCCATCTGGGCACAAGCTCTACTGCCCAGGAGGCTCCCATAGTGCAGGGGCTTGCAGATGGCAACGTAGCGGTCATAGGCCATGACGGTGAGAAGGGAATACTCTGCTGACATCAAAAATACAAAGAGACAGACCTGAGCAACACATCCTTGATAGGAGATGGCCCTGTTGTCCCAGAGGGCATTGGCCATGGCTTTGGGCAGAGTGGTGGAGATGCAGCCCAGGTCGAGGAGGGCGAGGTTGAGCAGGAAGAAGTACATGGGGGTGTGGAGGCGGTGGTCGCAGGCTATGGCTGTGAGGATGAGGCCGTTGCCCAGGAGGGCAGCCAGGTAGATGCCCAGGAAGAGCGCGAAGTGCAGGAGCTGCAGCTCACGTGTGTCTGCAAATGCCAGCAGGAGGAACTCACTCACAGAGCTGATGTTGGGCATTTTCTGACACTCTCTGTTGGAGAGAAAAAGGTAGAACAAAATTAGAACTGATTTGGATGAGGAAAACCCGTTACAAGTCATAGAGAACCCCCAAACAGAGCCTCTCTCTTTGCAGCAGAACCTTTCTGCAGCTTTCCTGCTTGAGCTGTGGCTGGTGCTGGCTGAGAGTGGCACTGGGCGCAGGGGCCACTATGGGCTGCAGAGGAGTCCTACCTGCAGCAGGAGGGAATCAGGAACATGGGGGAAACTCAGGTTCAGTCCACTTGTCAAGTCAATGAGTTTGCAGAATTTTCTTGCAAACAACTCATCTGAATGCAGAGCAGAGCTGCGGTGTTTTACTTGCTTTAATGTTATTCGGTTGCCCCTGTAACGCTTAGGTGAATTATTCACAGAAACTATTCATGCAAGGTGAAACATTGACAACTGTGTAGATATTGGATGGTTGAATGCTGTGACTTTTCATGTGTGCTCCTGGTGAAATCCTGCAGATGCCAGGAGGCAAAGGGACTGTCCCTTGGTGAAGACTGAGCAGAGCAGATCTGCCTAGCAGTGAGCTTGGGCACGAGAAGAAACTGGAGACAGCTGAGAGCAGAGAAGCCCGACTCTAAAGGCAGATGGACAGAATCCTCACCTTATCTCCAGGTGTGTGATCAGGATCTCAGCTCTTGCCTCCTAGATAGGAGTGCAGAAGCCTCAAACCAGCTGCCCACAGACAGCCATCCAGAAGCACGGACATGGCCTTAGCAAGGAGGTGTCTTCTCCTTGGGGCACCTGGATAACACAAGGAAGCCACGAGAGAGCTGCAACCTGCCGGAGGGCAGCCTGCAGCCCAGGACGATGCCCCAATGACAGAGCTGGATATCTGCAAGCTTGCGTGTGCCAATATCCTAGCTGCACTCCTGCAGTGTTCTAGCCACCCCTGTCTTATCTGACCAGGGGTAGCTAGGTTATGACACTCCAAGGGGCTTCTGCCAGACTTCCTCACCTCGCACTGCAACCCAGCAGGACTCTCAAAGCCTACTGCACTGCCCACTGCCCTCCCAGAAACAAGACCCAGCAGGAGACCCTTCCAGGACCTGCAGCTGCATGGCCCTGCAGCCAGACCCTTACCTTGTCAAGGGCTGTGCAGGTTTCTCCTGCAGGCAACTCTCAGCATCCTCTCACTGCCAAGTGCCTCCAAGCCCTCTCTCCTTTTCTTCTCTCTGTGTCTGTGCCTCTGTGTCTCTTTCCTGATGCGTTATGCAGAGGAGTTGCTCCTGGGAACAGCTGTCTCTCTGCTTCATGGAACTTTTTAAAATGTGTTTTCTCATGTCCCAGGAGTCCGGCCCAGCTCAGCACCAGAGGCCTATCCCAAGGTATTATAAACACCACTCTGGTGGCTTTGCTGATGAGCCCACGAGAAGCCAATTAGGATCTGGTGCTTTAATGATTATCTGTCTCCTCAAAAGCTTTAGTGGCAGAGACAATAGCCATAGCCATGGACCCAAATATCTCATAAGGCAAATCTGTAGGAAGCTGGCCTGGTTCCTGGTGATAAGGCACAACTGCTCGTATGGCATTCTTGTAGTGGAAACCACTCCTGAAGTAGGCATCCCAACCCATCAGGCTCCTTGCGGCCTCTCAGTTAACCAGACAAAAGTCACCTCAGCAGCAGCTTCCAAGCCAGGGGCCTTCTGCTGGCTTTGCAGCTTCTTGTGGAGACACAGCCAAGCCTTGTGCCTGCTGCTGCCCACTCATGGACTCAAGCAGAAGGGACAGGACAACCCATCTGGGGGCCTTCTTGCTGCCTGGGTCCTCCTGGATCTGGAGGCAGAGGGGATCCCCCAGTCAGCATGCCAAGCAGGTGCCTTCTGCTGGCCTAGCAGGGCCACTGCCAGATGTCAGCCCAAAAGTGCAAATCCCAGGTCTATGTCAAGGGTGACCTGCCCCCTCCAGACACAAGTGACCTCCCAGTCCCTTTCTGTGACACATTCCTGCTGCTGCCCTATCAAGTGCAGAGACAGAAGTGACCTCACAGTCCCTGCCACAGTCACATTCCTCCTGCTGGGGCAGGAGATCCTGACGCAGAGCTCACATCTCTCTTGTATCGTAGGGAGTAGATTTTACCATTCTGGGTTAGAGATTAAGCAAAGTTTATGTTGGAAGATTTAGTGTTCCGTTTGTGGTGTCAGGTTTCTGGTTACGGTATGGGCAAGCATTAAGGTTTAGGGTTTTGTTTTGGTCTGTGAAAAGACTATGGATAAACATGACATTTTAAAGTTAGTGCTAAGGGCAGGTATTAGTGTGAGCAAGAGACTAAAGGGAAGGAAAGGGGGCTATGGGCTGAGTTTTTCTTCAGGTGGTATTTTGAGTTCTGTTTTACAATAGTGGATTCCTGTCAGGAAGTTGCACTAATGTTTAGGTTTAAGGATTATTGTTTTTTTTTTTTTTTTTTAAATAGTTTACAGGCCGTACATGAATGTCTGAAGTCAGTTTTACAGCAGCATCAACATTGCATGAACCATCTTACCTCTACAAAGGTAAGGTTCCAAACTCCTCTTCACTTCTTCTTCCCGTACCCCTATCTGACATCTCTCCTGGCCAGGCTACTCCTGACCTCTCCATAGCAGTCATCTAACTGGGATCAGCTTTCTGATGGTTGTCATTATATCAGAGCACCTGTCTCACCTCTGTTGGCTACTCTATTCCGTAGTATTAGAATACTCTATACTCTGTTGCCTATTCTATTCTGTTCCTCACAAAGCCTCCCATGGGAATTGTTAGGGCAGATAATTGGAGGCCATGATTTCAGATTGGCAAAGGCAGTGTACTGAGAAAATCTCAGTTTATTTTATTGAAGCAGAAGGGCCAAGGCCTGACCCCAGCCACTGGGAGGGGAGATTCTACAACCCCAGCACCCCTATGTCTCACTCAGGGCTCTTCCTGGGGTTTGTGGGGTAGGGGGAGATGCCCACAATACCATATGTGAAGGGCAATGGTATGACACCTTCCAGCATTTGCACAGGGTTGAAAGGAGAATTCATGGTCCCAATGCCATGGGTATAACACGTCTCCTCCTAAGCCATGGCCAAGGGGACAAAGATGTGAGTGCTGCTGCAGCCTTCCATTCTTGTCAGAGCCCTCTGCCTTCTCCTCTGCATGCTTTCTTGTGCTGTCCCACACTTCCCTGAAGGCTGCAGACAACCACTTCTCTTCCCCACCTTGCTCTCACTCTGCTGTTCCCATGATTTCACTGCTGCCTCTCCACTCTCACCAGCTGTTCCTTCAAACACAAGGGCATGGGCTGATCCAAACTCTCCCTGGGTGATCTCTGGACCCACAGCACCAGTTCCAGTGCCTCACCTTTAAGTCAAGAATTTCATCTGACTATCTACTCTAAATGTACCCTCTTTAAGTTTAAAACCACTCCCCTTGTCCTACCATAAAATCAGAAATCATAGAAACACAACGTTGGAAAGGACCTACAAGATCATTTAGTCCAACTATCACTAATTCTACACGCTAAGTTACAAAGTCATATCTCCTAGCACCTTGTCCTGGTGCTTCTTGAACAGTGCGAGGGTTGGTGACTCCAGCACCTCCTTGGGCAGACCATTCCGGTGCCTGACTATTCTGTGAGAGAAAAAGGTTTTTGTGATATCTAATCTAAACATCCCCAGGCACAACTTGCAGCCTTTTCCTCAAGTCCTATCATTAGTTATCTGAGAGAAGGGGCTGACCCCTGCCTTACATCAACCTCTCTTCAGGAAGTTGTAGAGTGCAATGAGGTCTCCCCTGAGCCTCTTCTCCAGACTAAATAATCCCAGTTCCCTCAGCCACTCTTCATAACACCTGTGCTCCAGAACCCTCAACAGTTTGGTTGCCTTTCTCTGGACATGTTGCAGGGCCTCAGTGTCCTTCCTGTAATGAGAGGCCCAAAACTGAAGGCAGTACTCGAGATGTGGCCTCACCAGAGCTGAGTACAGTCAGGATTCTAATACAAGCCAGGATGCCCTTGGCCTTCTTGGCCACCTGGGCACATGGCTTGCTCTTGTTTAGCCGAGCATCCATCAACACTCCCAGGTTCTTTTCCTTTTCACAGTCTTCTAGGCACTCTGCCCCAAGTCTATAGCATTGCATGGAGTTATTGTGGCTAAATTGTAGGACCCTGCACTTGGCCTTATTGAGCCTCATCCCATTCACCTCAACCCAGCAATCCAGCCTATCCAGGTCCCTCTGAAAGGCCACACTACCCTCATGCGGATCGTCACTACCTCCCAACTTGGTGTCATCTGCAGACTTACTGAGGGTACACTCAATCCCCTCATCTAGGTCATCAATAAAGACATGAAACAAGATAGGTCCCAGTACTGACCCCTGGGGGACACCACTTGTAACAGGATGTCAGCTGCACTAACCAAAAATCTTGGTTAAAACCTCTGAGGAGAGCCTTTACGGGTTTCACAAGGACAATGGTAGCAGTGTCATAGATAATCATAGAAACATGGGATCATAGAATCATAGAATGTTTTGGGTTGGAAGGGACCTTAAAGATCCTCTTATTCCAACCATACTCTTACTAGACTTGGTTGCTCAAAACTCCTGTCCTTGAACACTTCCAGGGATGGGACATTTACAGCTTTTCCAGGAAACCTGTTCCAATGCCTCACCATCCTCAGACGAAAAAGCTTCTTCCATGTATCCAATTGAAACCTACACTCTGTTAGTTTAATAGCATTTCTCCTTGTCCCATCACTACACTCCCAGACAAAGACTATCTCCCCAGCTTTCCTGTAAGTCCTCTCTAAGCACTGGAAGGTTGCTCTAAGGTTTCTCCGCTGCTGAGTAGTGCCAGTTCTCTCAGTGTGCCTTCATAGCAGAAGTGCTCCAGCCCCTTGATTGCCTTTGTGGCCCTCCTCTGGACCTCTTCAAATAATTCCATGTACTCAAACTACCGTGTTAAACCACAGAAGTCTTTTTGGCACCCAGTGTGGGGCACAAAGGGTTGAGATAAAGACAGATCTTACCACAGAGTGCTAAAGTTAAATTGTTATAAGCATTAGACCAGTTTAATAGTTGCTGTTCACAAGGTCAATGTTTTGGATCTCAGGTCTGTTGGGCTTGTTTTCAGAAATGTGTTGTATAGCACATTACTTGCTGCCTGTGTTCCCATTGTGATGTTTGTCATTTCTGGGTCTGGTTTAAAGATATTTTGCTATGTTGTGTAGCACTGGCTTTTGATTCTATAAAATTATTGGTCATGTGACAAATCTGTTCTTTGTACTGAGCACTGCCATTACCTCCATACCTCAGGAACCATCACTCAGAAACTTAAGAATTATACTCTTGACTTTTTTGCTTTAAGGAGCCAATCTAGGGGGAGAAACAGGAGCGACACTTCTCCACTTCACTATCTCCTTCATCTCCCCCTTCTCCTCCAGGCTAATTACACTAGCTCTACAAAGCTTAGAATATCCATGGGATGGTCCTACTGTGATGTTTCCTGAATGTGTTTCAACTGGTGTTTAAGGATAAACAACTCTTGAAGAATGCCCTCCAGAGACCTGCCCCAAGGCCGGAGAGTTAGGAGTGGCAGGGAGCATGGGAGGATCTGGGCAGGCACCTAGAG